AGATAACAGTTTTAATAGAACACAAATGTTTGGTTAGAGATAACAAGTTTCGATAGAACTCGAATTTTCAGTAAGAGATAACAAGTGTGATAGAACTTCGACGTTTTGTAGGAGACATAACTCAGATATTTAGTAAGAGAAAACAATTTTGATAGAACACGAAAAATATTTAATAAAACTCTGTTTGGTAAGAGATAACAGTTTTAATAGAACACAAATGTTTGGTTAAAGATAACAGTTTTAATAGAACACAAATGTTTGGTTAGAGATAACAGTTTGTTAGAACTCAGATATCTGGTAAGATATTATTGGCAAGGAATAACAGGTTTGTTATAATTCGGATGTTTAGCAGATGATAAAGGGTTTTATAAAAGAATATGATGTATTAGAGAAGGAATAACTTTAGAAAGTTTAATAGTATTGAAATTTACAAAAACATTTAGACTTAAGAGATAAAATGTAGCTAACAAAACTGCTTAACTTGAGAAAGTTTTTAAAAATAGATAACACTTACCTAAGTATTTTTGTGTAAGACATTCCGTAATGTTCACCTAAAATAGTCCATTGCAACTATTACAAAGAATTTTCCTTACGTTTTATGTTATAAAAAGAAAGAGGGCTGCTCTAAAGCAGGTTTTGTTAGCCTTACATTAGAAGGCACTGTGATATGGGAACACTAGTATAGCACAGCGGTTTCTTGACATCCATCGACGGAAAGACACACAGCGGGCCATGTATTTCTACTCGTTTCATAGGATCGCACGGAAATAAGTACCCAAAAGCGGGCGCTTTAAACCCGGGGGCGCGCTGATTGGCCTCCTACAAGAATGTCGGAAACATCAAAAGTTCGGCTTGTTTACATAATAGGGGAACGTTGAGTGTGTGAGAACGCTCGCTCGCAAACGACTGCAAGGAAACAGCGCGTGCCGTACTGTGCTTGGCGCCTGCCTCCTTTTGTCGTGTAGGTTTACTGTTGTCGCGAACCTCGTATCCCTATGTTTATTTTTACTGTAAAAATTGGAAGAAAAAAAGGCGAGCAAGAGGTGGAATATTTAAAAATAAAAATAAAACTAACAAGCTTCGTACACAACTCTAGAAAGTATCAACTTCTGTGGTAACAGATTTAAAAAAAAACAGACTTCGTAAACAAAACTATAAAGTATCAGCCTTTGTGCCAACATATTAAAAAATAAAAATTCTTGTAGAAAACACTAGGAAGAATCATATAAAAATAAAGATAAAACTCGATCTTCGTACACAACATTAGGAAGTATCATATAAAAATAAAGATAAAACTCGATCTTCGTACACAACATTAGGAGGTATCATATAAAAATAAAGATAAAACTCGATCTTCGTACACAACATTAGGACGAATCATATAAAAAAAAACTCGATCTTCGTACACAACATTAGAAAAAATCATATAAAAATAAAACTCGATCTTCGTACACAACATCAGGACGAATCATATAAGAATAAAACTCGATCTTCGTAC